GTATTACTGCAAAACTCAGTCCTTTGGATAAAACATTATTTTCTGTTTGAAGAAGCTCTCTGTCAGACAGATGTCTCACCATGAGGAGATAGGGCGGTATATAAATTTAATAAATAAATAAATAAATAAATAAATAAAATACTTTCATCTCTACCACCATCCAGTCAGAACTGATGAATTTTTTTGGATGAGAAGTGAAACATCTTCAAGGAAAAACAAAGAAAGTTCAGTTAGCTTTGAGACAACCATGATCTGGATGATTACAATCTCCATAGACACTTTTATATTGTTTTGTTTTTAATTGTTATTGTTTAAAAATAGTTTACTTCCAAGGGAGAAAGATTATTCTCTTAAAGATGACCAGGAGGGAAGGGTATCATTGAAAACCACATCCTGGGATATGTAAGCTCCCTGAATTGAAATTTTTGCATTTCTCAATTAAAAGATCAGGTAATAAGGAATGGGATACAGGGAAGGCGTTTCAAATTAAAAAGAACAGGGTTAGTTGGAAAAATACTTTGATTTTGCTTGAAACAGCTTTTTACTTTCCCTCACTTCTATTTTACATGAGCCTTAGAATTAAAGATAAATTTGGCCCCCTAGAATGTTCTTGGGGGAAAAATAAACAAAAATGTTTTGTCTGGAATTGTGCTCCTAAACCAGAAAGAGAACAAAGTCAAGTAAAGGTAATAGACAATACCCTGTATTGGGGATATTATAGGGAGAGGCAGGTAATATTCTGGTAAATCAGTGCTTTGTAACAGTTTTTGTCCCATATAAGCATATTGTGAAGCCCCCTCCCCCCACTTACAAAAGATTGAGGGCTCCTGATCTGTGGAATAAACTATCACAATGTCATGACCAATGTGGATTATGTTAAAATAGATTTAGATCAGATCCCTGCTAGTCTTGGTGACTTATAAACTCCTAAAATCAAAGCAAACATATCATTGAACATCCCCTTGCCCTATGATGTATTCCTAATTTCCTAGATCATGATAATAATAATAGTAGTAAAGTTGGAAGGGACCTTGAAGGTCATCTAGTCCAACCCCCTGCTCAGGCAGGAAACCCTATACCATTTCGGACAAATGGCTGTCCAGTCTCTTCTTAAAAACTTCCAGTGTTGGAGCATTCACCGCTTCTGGAGGCAGGTTGTTCCACTGGTTAATTGTTCTCACTGTCAGGAAGTTTCTC